GATTAAGTGTGGCATAGTCTGCAAGCTGCGGAGTCATCTGGATACCCACATAGGTAATTCGGGAGCATATAGGAATACAAGACAAATCCGCTACCAATGGGTTTGGTAAAGGGTATATAGGAAGCAAATTGGAATTATCCCAGTTTACTAAAAGACCAGAATATATAGCGAAATCCGACAGATGTACCATAACACTACGCAAGGAAGACTGAGTATCTGCCAGGAAAAGCAGGGTGTCATCAGCATATAGTGCACGTTTATCTTCCTCCATACCTCTTCTAAAACCTGTGATAGTGGCCATTTTAACTAAGGGCAGATTAATACATCTCCCTTTACTTCCTGGAGTTCTGGCACATATGACTAAGACATGTGACCATGCACATCATGTCAGGGGAGGAAAATGCCTTTCCCTGAGATCTCGTGAGATTGCAGATGAGATTTCCCAGCAATGCTCTGCTGATGTAATCTTCCCAGGATGCAACGCTCGGGCACATTACATCATTTGTGCCAAAATGGACCATGAAGTGGATGAACTCTATTTGTAAGTAAATGAAAAACAAGTTTGTTTAACTAATAAGGGCCAGTTCACACCATATGCAGTTGTGATGCAGTTGTGATGCAGTCCGTTTATTTCAACCGCTGCAGTTAAAATACATCCCAATGCTTTCCTATGGGCTTTCTTGTGGCTAATTCACACCATTGCAGTCCGTTCAACTGCAGTCAGAAAAAGTACTGCTTGTCCTATTTTACCTGCATCTTACTGCACTAAACGCATCAAAGCGCAGTGCAAACTCATGCAAACGCATCAAAACGCACTAAAACACAACGGGCTGCATACAAAAAAAAAAAAAACAGAATTGATTGTGGCATCATCCAGGGACATGCAGGGGAAAAAATGCATCACATACGCGTCAAAACAGATCGCAATGCAACTGCGCAGGTGCACGCAGTTGTGATGCAGTTTCTGGTGTGAACTAACCCTAAATGTTAGATGATTTTAAATCAGCATGCAGTGCTGCATGCTGATGTGATTTTTAGTAAAAAGGGGTAAAGGTCCGCTTTAAGGCCTCATTCACACGAGAAAAGGCCGGCACGCATAGATCCGTGCTACATGCATGGCCGTATCGGGCAGCTCCGGGGAAGGACAGGTGCTGCGTGTGATTAGTACGCAGCCCGTCCTTCTCTATTGGAGTACGCAGCCATACACCGCCCTATGTTCACCCCAAGTGCAGGTCTTTATGAGTGCGGGTGTCCTGGCGCGGACGCAGACAGGATCCATCATGTCAGCGTACGAGTACAGACACCCGCACCCGTACGGACCTGCACTTGAGGTGAACGTAGGGGGGCGTATGGCCGCTTACTCCCATAGAGAAGGACAGGGGCTGCGTCCTAATCACACACAGTACCTGTCCTTCCCGGGAACCGATACGGCCGGATCTATACGTGCCGGCCTTTTCTCGTGTGAATGAGGCCTAAGGAACTTGAATTAATTTTTAAGATTTAACTCCTGAGTTTAGTGTCAATTTAAACCATTTTTTATATATATAACTGAGATCTGTTTTTCTTCATATTTTTTTATATATATCAGAATAGATCGTATGAATATATTTATGATAATTTTTTGCATGTATATTAATTGATTTCAGTGAATACAAATGTTAACACGCAGGGGCGTAACTCGAAATCACAGGGCCCCATAGCAAAATTTTGTATGGGGCCCTGTGATTTCTAGTTATGCCCCTTGCAGAGCCCACCTGATATCCCAAACAGCCCACCTGAGAGTGACTCTGCAGAGCCCGCCATAGACTGTCTATGGCAGGCTCTGCAGGGTCTCAGGTGGGCTGCACACCTCTTACCTGTCAGCGTGGTCCGCCTCCGTGATCACCGGGCCCTACCTCCTCTTTCATCGTCGGGCTGTTTTATTTGAAAGACTTTGGACTCTCAATTTGTTTGTGATGTCACCCTAATTGGACTTTTTACAAGTAGATTCCAAAGTTTGGGTCCCTCAGTTAGGGGTTGTAGAGAGGGGTTTGTGCAGAGAGCAGCCTCGCTGGAGCCATTGAACCCTTTGTGAATTTGAAGGATTTCACCATAACTCCATTAAAGGAAAAAATCCAGAACTTCAGTTGCACACATCCCAGGTACATGACAGTGACCTTATAATGTGACCCAACTATCTAATTTGTTCCCAACTATACTTGCTGTGCAGCGCAGGCAACCAGCGGGCACCTGACCCAATGGAATGTCTGTCCTGGACTAGAAATCAGCTACTCCCCATTCAGGATTGCCAGCTGTACACAAATTCTGATACCCGATATAGGTCATCCACTAAATCAGCCAATCAGGATGGTTGGATAAAAATGTGATAGAGGGTTGGAAATGCACTTAGTGTTGAGATATATCACCACCATCTATATCACTTAGAACCACTGGCAGACATAGTCACCAAAGGGACCCAGTGCAAGAACAATCACTGGGTCCCCATTCAACTGCTGCTGAAGTGTAAACATTTACTCAATGATAGAGAAATCATCAGACACATGAAGATGAAGAGTAGCTATTGCTAAATGCCTGAAACTCTCTCTGGGTTTATAATACAATTGGACAAGTCAGACAACAAACTCTCCCTTCTAGATGGAGTCAAGCATAGATAATAGGGATGCACTGATACCGATACTCGGCCAAATGCTCTGATACTTACCCCAATATCGGAACATCCGATCAGAGGGAGATTTCCTCTGACCAGCAGTGCCATGAGGGAGCATGGAACCGGCTACCCAGCCGATCAGGAAGCCAGAGACGGGTCATGACCTGCCTCCCAGCTTCCTGATTGGCTGGGAAGCTAGCTTGACTTGTCGCTAGGCAGCCTGGCTTCCTACATAATCAGGATGTCGTGCGGCACATCATGACCCGCCCCCCTGATTGTCTAGGAAGCCGGCTCCACTTGTCACTAGGCAGCCTGGCTTTCTGACCAATCAGGATGCCAGGCGACACGTCATAACCCACCTACCTGAACGGCTAGGAAGCTGGCTCCACTTGTCTCTAGGCAGCCTGGCTTCCTAAAAAATCAGGATGTCGTGTGGCATGTCATGACCCGCCCCCTGATTGTCTAGGAAGCCGGCTCCACTTGTTGCTAGGCAGCTTGGCTTGGCTTCCTGACCAATCAAGATGCCCGCGACACGTCATAACCCACCTCCCTGAATGGCTAGGAAGCTGGCTCCACATGTCGCTAGGCATCCTGGCTTCCTGACCAATCAGCATGCCGGGCGGCACATAATGACCCGTTCCCTGATTGGTTAGGAAGCTGACTTCACGCTCCCTCGCGACACTGCGAGGCAGCCTGGCTTCCTGACCAATTGTGTGACACTTTGCACTTCATTTAATAAATTGGGATTTTGATACTGGATTCCCTGAGTGTGTGCCGATGAAACGCTTGAATCTACTATTGATGTTTGCATGGCGCCATCCGTGCGGTCACCTTGAGCACCACAGATGCCTTTTGGAATATAAGACCATAGGAGTGCGGATGGCACTTGGATTCTGTTACAATCAGGAAGCCAGGCGGCAAATCAAGACACGCCGCCTGGCTTCCTGATTGGTCAGGAAGCCAGGTTGACTCGCAGTGTTGCGAGGGAGCGTGAAGCCGGTGTTCTTTCGATAGTACACCGGCTTCCCAGGCAATCAGGAAGCCGGGTGGTGGGTCATGACCCGCCGCCCAGCTTCCTGATAAGGTGGGCCCAAGGTACCTCAGGATGCCGGTGCCGGAATTCAGTTTGACGAGATTCTAATTAAAAATATTGGTACTCATACTTCATACTAAAAAAAACCCGGTATCAGTGCATCCGTAGTAAATAGGAGAAGCATTTGGCATATCTCAGTGCTGTTCTGGAACATATGATAAGTTGCCATGCGTTGTGGTGCGATGCAATACACGAACAGTCTAGGTGCCTTTGGGGTGCCATTGTTGGAGCATCACCAATCTTGTGCAATGCGGGACGTATATGTGAAGCGTGTTGGGGGAGGGGGTATGCTTTTTTGTATTTATAGCATTTTAGTTCCCATCACATGCAATAAATGGAGTTTGATGTGCACATTTGGTGATCTGCTGTATTTTATTCCTGTGTATAGGGAGCCCACAGAACCTAATGTGCTCCGGGGGGCCCATCTGGGGTCTGAATCCAGCCCTGCCAGCATACAGCCCTTCTATATAGGTATAATAGACGATGTGAGCTGGGAAAGGTCGGACACTATGTAGGTCATGTACAGGGGCTCAGGTGATCGCACACGGCGATACATTGTAACTACAGAATGACAGGCAGATGGCTCATCCAGCGAGCGGAGCCCCTCGGGAATTGTAGTCCGACTCCCCCTCACTCCCTGTACAACAGCTGCGACTGCAGACTACAAGACCCGGCATGCACCGCGGCCCGGGCCACTCTCGGATGAATGGCAGCGAGTGTGATGTGTACTCCGCTACTGCCTATGCTACGCGCACAGTCTTGACAGTGACTCTGCACGGGGAAGCGGATTGCCGGGGACACCCCCTCCCCTTTTACCAGGGTGACACCCCGATAGTGTAAATCGGCCGATCGGTAGCAGGAGGCACCGGTAGGAGGGGGCAGGATTGCTGAAAATCTAAGTCATTTCCTGTGAAGGTTCATTTCCTGGTTAAGACCCAGTTATCAGCTGCTGTGCTGTCCCCATACACAGCCACCCAATCTGATCCTCTATGGGTCGCCCCGCTGCCCATCGCCCGCTGGCTGCTCTGCACTAAGGGGGTGCTTCCCTGTAATGCCGGTGATCGGGCGATCCATGGCTGCCTCCGATCTCACACCTTCCCCCCATCTCTAATGCACAATGCTGGTCGGGCGTTCCTGGGCTGTGTAGGGCTGTCACCCCCCCCTACATTAGCCTGCTGCTCCTTGTTTGCTTTCGCCTGCGGCAGCCCATCTCGGGATCGCTGAGTATTCATTGCTGGAACTTATTTATAGCAGGGCCCGATCCGGGGAGACCATTATCTCTGCTCATCGAACGTCTGGGGGTTCTCAAACATGAAGAAGTTCTTCGACTCCCGGCGGGAGCTGGGCGGATCTGGCTCCGGGGTCGGCGGAGGATCGGTCAGCGGTCTGGGCACCGGATACATCGGCAGAGTGTTCACCATTGGGAGGCACCAGGTCACCGTGGACGAGGTCCTGGCTGAAGGTATCGATCTGCCAAGCCGATATGTGTCTATGGAGGGATCGGGGGGGCGAGGAAGGGGCATCTTATGTCATTGTCAGATTGTAGAACGTGAATAGAATGAGGAGAGGATGTGAGATGACCATATACACAGCACACGGACCATATGTACACCCAGCACGCGGACCATATATACAGCACACGGACCATATGTACACCCAGCACGCGGACCATATATACAGCACATGGACCATATGTACACCCAGCACACGGACCATATGTACACCCAGCACGCGCACCATATACACATCACACGGACCATATGTACACAGCACACGGACCATATATACACAGCACACGGACCATATATACACACAGCACGCGGACCATATATACACACACCATATGTACCCAGCACACGGACCATGTATACACCCAGCACACGGACCATGTATACACCCAGCACACGGACCATATATACAAGGACCATATGTACCCAGCACACGGATCATATATACACCACACTGACTCACTCTATCTATGTATTTATCCATCTATCATCGATGTGCCCACTTTGTTCTCTCTATACCAACCTCAATATTCCTCTCTTTTTTGCTCTCTTGTGTGCTCTCTCTACAGTAATGTCTTGTGTGCACTCTCTACTCTGACATCTTGCACACATGCGCGCTCTCTACTCTGCTCTCTTGTCTGCACTCTCTCTACTCTAATCACCTGTACATGCTCTCTCTACTCTGATGTCTTGCAGGCTCTCGCTCTCTCTCTCCTCTGATCACTTGTGCTCACTCTCCCTACTCTTTTCCGCTCTCTAGTTTGATTTCTTGCATGCACACGCTCTTCTGAACACTCGCACACCCTCTCCCTACTCTTTTGCGCTCTCTCTACTCTGATTGCTTGTGCATGCTCTCTCTTCTTTGATCTCTTGCACATGCTCTCTTCTCTCCTCTGAACACTTGCACACCCTCTCCCTACTCTTTTTGCACTTTATTGCGCTCTCTCTACTCTAATCTCATGTGCGCGCTCTCCTTACTCTATTGCGTTTCTACTCTAATCTCATGTGCGTGCTCTCCTTACTCTATTGCGCTCTCTCTACTCTAATCTCATGTGCGCGCTCTCCTTACTCTATTGCGCCCTCTCTACTCTAATCTCTTGTGCGCTCTCCTTACTCTATTGCACCCTCTCGACTCGAATCTCATGTGCGCGCTCTCCTTACTCTATTGCACCCTCTCTACTCTGATCTCTTGTGCGCGCTCTCCTTACTCTATTGCGCTCTCTCTACTCTGATCTCATGTGCGCGCTCTCCTTACTCTATTGCGCTCTCTCTACTCTAATCTCATGTGCGCGCTCTCCTTACTCTATTGCGCTCTCTCTACTCTAATCTCATGTGCGCGCTCTCCTTACTCTATTGCGCTCTCTCTACTCTAATCTC